CTTCAGCGCATCTCAGCAGATGTCATTTTTGCCTCCCTTTGACAGAGGAGGGATCTGAGTCACAGGAAGAAGAGATGAGTAGCAGATGCAGGAATCAAGCCTGGGTCTTCCTGACACCGATATCTGTATTCTGAGCCACTACGCTTATCTGTCAGTGGGCACCAACAGACTCTTATGGAAGCTTTCAACTTCTTTGGGTGCCCAAGCATGGATATCTCCTCAGTGGAGAGCTGGCGTTGTAGACAATTAGTTGGAATCTTGCTAGAGCCAGCTCTTTAATACTGGGAGTGGTGGGAGGAGAGAGGGCTTTTCCTCACTTGCCCCCTCTTGAATCTGAAAGAGCGCTCTCAGATACACATGTCAGCTTGCAAGCAGGTGTGTGCATCTGAAATGTTTCGGCCATCGCACCTGTGCAGGGCAAGTCAGTGGAATTCAGGAATTAAGTCTCTCTAGCACATCAGTAGGAGTCTTTGAAGCTCCAGTGGAAAAAAACCCTCGGCTACTCTCTCACTAATTTCATTTATAATTATACTTTCCTAATGGTTGTTTAGGACCTGGTCAGTGGGAGGTCCATCTCCGAGTCTGTGGGAGAGATGTGCTGAGCTCTCCCCAGCTTCACTGGTTCCTGGTTGTGCTTGGATAGGCATGCTCACATATGGCATAAACATTTCTTTCTTAATGGTTGTATGCCACTCCTCCTCGCTTTAAAATGAGCCCATACTGTGCCCCATTAGCTGAAATTGACATGATGGTTATTTTCAATGCCATTTCTTTAAAGAACTCAGCCTCACTGTGCACTGCTAGCTTTCCCCCCTTGCTTAAGTGGAATGGAGAACCCCTGGGAAAATGTGGTGGCAGCTTTTCAGAAGCTGCAGAGCCCCGCTCCTCCCTTCCCACCCTCACATCTACAGCTCAGAGAGCATCATGCATTATACAAACATTAAGGATTCCTCCCTCAATGCAGAATCCTCTGGAAATCTCAGAATCAAAAAGCTCCATGATAAAAATGCATGAAGCAATATCCTTATTGGTAAACTTACATATCCAGCTGAGATACTGCACATGATAATGCAATTTTCTATGCAAAAAGGGTTTATCTCCATCCAAATATTATTCCACATCATTATTTATGCTGGAGAAGTGATTGCTGTCCTAGGTTAACTGATTGAACTTTTGGAACCAAAGCTTCAAGCTTATCTTACTGGCTATTGCCTGACTTCTCATAAATTGCAGTTAGATTGGTAGGAATGAATAAATGTACACTCCATTAGGAAATATTAAAGTTTTTATACTGGTTTAGAATAAAAACAGGATTAAGGGGGGGCATTTCTAAGATTCAGTACAGCGTGAAATTGAAATCTTTTTGGCATGTGAAATATACAGTATGAATATTCTTCCCGCTTTCTGGAGGCTGGGGAGATTAGGGGGAGTGGACAGACCACTCCAAGATTCACCTGTAGATGGTAGAAGAGGAGAAGTAGGAAAAGCCCATTTTTGTGCTTCCCAAACTGTGTCTATTAATTATTCGATTTTTAACAACAAAAAAAAAACAATAGCACTAGAAATATGTGTCAGGCACCGTCTTATATGCTTGTTCATCTATAGGCAGATTTTTTTAGATGGTCAAGAAGCTGGAGCAAGACTTCTCTGAAAAATTCATCTTCTGCTTCTTGCTGTGGAGTTTGTGCACACAAAGCTGTTGTTCTCTTTGTGTCTCAGTTTCCCATTTGTGAAAGGAATAGCTTTTTTATCTGAAAAGATAAAGTCTGATTTATCTGAATAAAGTCTGATTTATTTATTTTAGAGGGAGAGAGAGAGGGAGAGAGAGAGTGAGCACTCAAGTGCACATGTGAGCAGGTCGGGGGCAGAGGGAAAGGGAGAGAGAGAATCCTAAGCAGACTCCCTGCTGAGCACAGAGCCCGACTTGGGACTCAATCTAATGACCTTGAGATCATGACCAGAGCTGAAATCAAGAGTCAGACACCTAACAGACTGAACCACCCAGGTGCTCCAACAAATGTTGATTATTGTTGCTAGTATTACTACTATTATCTTATCTGCTTTTGGTGGCTCTTCAGAGAACTCTGTGAGGTAGATTAGTAGCTTCAGTCCCACTTTCTGGATGCTGAAACTGAGGTTGATAGTGTAGAAATTGATCATTGCCTGAAGAAGCAGAGGAAGTACTTTCTGGTTTGCTACCATGGTGTATAACAAACTCACAGAATTTTGTACCATGAAGCAACAACCATTTTATTAGGCTCCTGGATTCTGTGGAAGGGGATAGAACAGTTCATAGCAAGGTTGGTTTGGAGCAGAGGCTCCACAGTGCCTTAGACCTCAACTGAGAGAACGCAGCTAAACTGGTTCTGGAACCCTCTTGAGACTTCTTAATTCATATGTCTTGGGCCTGGGCTGGTATGATGCAAAGGCTGGGTTCAGTCGGGATGGGTGATTAGAATGCCTGCATGTGGAGGTGCCCGGGTGGTGCAGTCGTTAAGTGTCTGGTTCTTGATTTCGGCTCAGGTCATGATTTCAGGGTTGTGAGATTGAGCCCTACGTCGGGCTCCGTGCTGAGTGAAGAGCCTGCTTAAGATTCTCTCTCCCTCTGCCCCTCCCCACCCTGAAAAAAAAAAAAAAACCCTCCATGTGGCCTGTCCCTCACAACATGGTGACTTGAGGGTAATCAGACTTCCCACATTGCCACTTGGGGCTCCAAGAGTGAGTGCTCTTGTGACAAATGGAGAAGTGTGTGGTCCTTATTTTTTTATTATTTTTTCTTTTTTTCTCTTTTTTAAAGATTTTTATTTAAATTCAGTGTAGTTAACATATAGTTTACTCTTACTTTCAGGGGTAGAATGTAGTAACTCAGCAGTTGTGTATAACACTCAGTTCTCATTACATCATGTGTCCTCCTTAATCTCATCCCCCAGTTACCCTATCCCCTCACCCACCTCCCCTCCATCAACCCTCAGTTTGTTTCCTAGAGTTAAGAGTCTTCTATGGTTTGCCTCCCTCTCTGTTTTTATCTTATTTTATTTTTCCTTCCCTTTCCCTGTGTTCATCTGCTTTGTTTCTTAAATTCTACATATGAGTGAAATCATACGGTATTTGTCCTTCTCTGACTTATTTCACTTAAGCATAATCCCCTCTAGTTCCATCCACATTTTTGCAAATGGCAAGATTTCATTCTTTTTGGTGACTTGAGTAATATCCCATTGTGTGTATGTGTATATATATATACATATATATGTGTGTGTATATACACACACACACACATATACATATATATATATAATACATACATATATACCACATCTTCCATTCATCTATTGATGAACATCTTATTTCAGCTATTGTGGACATTGCTGATCTATAAACATTGGGGTGCGTGTGCCCCTTTGAATCACTATTTTCATATCCTTTGGATAAATATGCAGAAGAAGCTGCATGGTCTTTAATGAGCTTGGAAGTCACAAGCATTGGTCAAAGGAGATGAATCCCACCTGGATTCAAGGGAAGGGGACATAGACTTTCGTTTTCCATGGAAGAAGTGTCATAGGCTTTGCAGCTCAGTTTTATAATCACCACACATACTGTGGAGGCTTGATGTTACCTTTGCTTCTGGATATAGACCGCTGTGACTTGCCCCAGCCAATGTGGCGGTGTTACCATCTTGGGAGCCATTTGCATTCACACTTACCACAATTTCTCTCCTGTGAATATTCAGGTTCCCACTCACTCATCCTGCCTCTGTGTGTGTCCGTGCACATGCACGTGTGTGCCGGAGTCTGCATATCATCAGCCCCTCCTGTCTTCCTCATTCCATCATGTTACTTCACTGTCCTTTTCCCCTTCTACTGCTTCATTTCCAGTGGATTCAATTAGTTCTCTTTGCTGCCTTAGCAATAAAACAGCTCCCTCCACAGCATTAGAATGAGTCTCTCTCATTATTTCATTTAGATTATTGTTATGTTTGAAAACTTGAGGGCAGGGCAGGCAGGAGGAAAGGAATGTTAATTTGCAGGGAGTCCCTGTTGTGTGGTGGGAGAGTCGCTGAAAGGGAGCCAAGAAGTGGCCACTTGATGTACTTGTGGACACAGAAAGAGGCGAAGGGTGCTTCAGGTCACACCCCCCCGCCAGTGTCTGCTCATGCTGAGCCCCACGACCTTACAGGAGAGGCCAGCTGTGTAGGTCCTGGCCATAGCCCGTTTGGAAATGGCTGGTTGCCAGAGCTCCTCTGTCCACTTCAGAAGGGCCATTTCCCCTGAAAGTGCGCATGCTCCTGTGTATATGCATTCTGTTTCCCTTCATTCTCTCCAATTATGGAAGTGCTCTTTCACAGGGGCCATCACCGGGAAAATGCAGTAGGTGGCAGAGCCCAAGCTCAGGATCCTTCTAATTTGACTCACGGAATGTCAGAGAACATTACACAAAGCAAGGAATGAAGCTTTGAGTGCCGGAGCGACAGTGATTATGTAGGGATGGCATATACATAATTACAAAGCACTCAGGGTTTTTTTGTTCATCATCTGTGTTTAGGGTCTCCCTTTCAGGAGCTTGAAATGTCATCAGGTAGCTGAATAGTGCTAACAGACTTGTGTTTCATTCTGGCTTCACACTGTGCCAAATGGGAAACCGTATTTGTTACTAGACTGAAGAGCATCTTAGTGGGGGCAAAACCAAAGGACCAGTGGGGAGTAAGCAGGTCTAGATTTAAATCTAGCTGCCTTTCCTCTTTTCCTCCGCTGTTGGGCTTACACACAGCTGGTGGTGTTTTCGGGGAATGGGGATTAGATCATTTGGAGGAAGCTGGGTGGGAAAAGGTTGGTGCTGCTGCTCTGGGTAGTGGTCCCAGCCCAAGATGGACGAAAGGAAGTACCTAGGTTGTGAAGCCTTAGATTGTTAAAAAAAAATTTGGCTTTCCCACTGTGTTTCTGTGATGGGTAAGTTTGAAATCTGCTCTTCTGTTTCATCTTCCTTTCTTTTTTTTTCATCCTAAGATTAAGTCTGGGACTGTTGGAAAGTTTTGCAAACCAGGGAGTGATTCAGATCAGCTTTGAAAATACAGCCGGAGATTGGACCAGGAGGGTCTTCCCAGGTTGGTTTGCTTTATTAATAAACAGGTCACAAAAAGACAAGTTTCATCAAAGACTGCGGGGGCTAAGTCACTAATTATGCCGACTAATTATCATATTAGGGTGTTGGGCTCTTCTCCAAAGTGGCTCAGCCCGCTCTAGGTGTATTTCACGATTGCAAATGGCCAGCCGAATGGGCCCATTGGAAAGTATTATTAATAACCTGGAGACCTAAAATGGAGATGCTTCGGTGGGGGGCGGTGCAGATATGTGTACTTGGACGAGAAAGGCCATTCCACATGTGAAAAATGAGATATTAAAGTTATGCAAGAGTGAGGGAAAAGTTTAGTAATTAATCACATGGGTCCTAATGAGGAGAGCAAATCAACATGATAAAAGGATTTGTCTGAATGGATTATAGGCAAATTTAAAAGAAGGAGAAAAAAAAAAGCCACAAAGGGCATTGCCAGCTTGGGCATTTGGCTCTTTAGAAATCCTCAATCATTCTTACAATCAATTCTGCCTTTCCTCAGTAGCCACACACGTGAAACACGGCGCTCTCTTCATTGTCTTAGATTAACCGCCAGCTGCAAACCATACATTTAATGACGTACTGAGTATTTGTCTTCCAGAAATACACTTGAATGCTGTTTATTTCCCTGATAGGTCTGCCATAATGCATTTGAGGTGCCATATTGCTAAATACATACTGTACTTTAATATCTGTACCAGCTAGTTCCAACTGTTTAGGAACTGCTAAGGAAGCAGCTGTGTGGGGCCCCCACAATTACAGATAGAGTTTTTCTCATAAACTGTTTAATTGTTTGCTTCTGGAAACAATTAGACTGACGGTATTATAGAGCGAGTGTCGTATTGCAGCCGGCAATCCTCTTTATGAGCTTTCTTAGCAAAATACCATGTTGACATATGCCGGGCCCACAAAGAAGATTCAGTTATAGGGTGGCCTGACTTCCAAGGAAATTGTGTTCAGTAATAGGCTACCCGGGAAAATGGCATTGCCAAGGGGAAGTCAGTCTGTAAACAATGCTGTCTTGGCGCTGGGTGTGGGCACTCAGCCCCCTCTGCTGCAATGGGCGGAGGGTGGGGGGGGGGACCCTGCATCTTTCTTCAAAGCTGAGCGAATAGCATGGAGTGTGATGCATCACTTCTGATACTTGGCCAGCCCGGGAGGCATTCACAGGGCTGTGGCTTGCAGAGCCCCAGTACGTTACCGTGTGTGTTATCTTTGTTCGAATGGTTAGTGGTCCCTGGGCAGAATGGCCTCACGGCTACCTCCTAGTGGTGCATTTCGGTTGGGTGCTTACTTGTGGCCGACGTTTTGCTATGAGCTTTTTCACGCACTGTGATCTTGTTTAATCCTCTCAAGTCCTTATGAGTTTGTGTTATTACTTCTGTTTGACAGATGAGGAAACCAAAGCTTAGCAAATGAAGTGGTTTTTCCTAGGTTACTCAGTGATGACAACTGACAGGTCCTCATCTCAAACCCAGTCTCTCTGGCTCTAGACTCCAGGCTCTTAACAACTTCTGCACACAGCTTCCTAGAAGAGATCTAATACGGACAAGAGATTTCTTATTCCCAGGTTTTTTGCTTTGTTTTGTTTTAGGTTTTGTTTGATTGTTTGTTTGTTTCACAAAGGCCAATAAAAGCACCAAAGAAGTGGGTTCCACTCATTCGTGGCATTGATTATTTCCTCCTTCGGTAGTCCGTTTATTCGATTTTCCCATATTTGTTCAGCATCTGCAATGTGTCAGACAGAGTGGTAGGTATAGACATATAGCAGCGCCTTCATGAAGCTCTCTAGCGGACGAGAGTGGGAAACGTAAAATAGCCGGTGAACAGAGGTGTAGACAAAGCCACTTCAGGCAGTGAGAATTACTAATATGCACAATAGTTTAATAATTATTGACTTGGTTGTGTGGTTCTTATGTTTGGGATGGTTGCAAAAGGCTTTTCTAAGGAGGTTTCATCTGAGTTGAAGCCTGAATCATGAGAAGGAGTTAGTCTTCGAAAGAGCTGGGGAAAGAGCAAGTTCAAAGTCCCTGGTAAAGGAATGGACTTGGTGTGTTCTAGGAACATAAATGAAACCAGAGTGTCTGAACTAATCCTTGGCAGCTATACTTAAGGCCTCCCTGAGGAGCCTCCAATCACATAGCCCATCCATCCATGCTCCATTCATCCTTACTTCATCATCCATATTCCAGCATCCATAATCTCTCCATCATATATATGTTTATCCATCCAAAAACTATCCAAGCATCCATCTGTCCATTCATCCATTCATCCAGCATTTATATATCCATCCATTCATATATCCATTTACTTGTTCAGAAACTATCTATTCACCTATCCACCCGTCCCTTCCCCTCCCTCCATCTGTATTCCAGAATTCCTAATCTATCCACCATACATCTGTTTATTCACCTCTCTATTCACCCATCCATCC